GAGCCTTAAAGCAAACAGGGTTGTCTAATTTTCTTCACCTCGGCTAATAGTATGTAAAAGAATGCTTGCCTATTCTGCTTCGTATTCTGAAATTAATTCAAAGGAGCGAAGATACAAATCAAAGCAGCCCGTCGTCCCACTCCCCAGGTGTAGCCACTGCCCTTCCCGTTTGCACCTGGGAGATCACTGAATGTCTACATGGATCACTTTCTGTCACGGCTGTAGCAAATGACTTTGTGCTTAGTGGCATAAAACAACATACCTTGAGTATCTTACAGTTTTAGAAATTAACCACTGCCAACAGGACTCAGAGCAGCGGTTCTCAACCGGTGGGTCCTCGACCCCTTTGGGGGTTGAATGACCCTTTCACAGGGGTCGTGTGATTCATAGCAGTAGCAAAATGACAGTGATGAAGTAGCAACAAAAATAATGTTATGGTTGGGGGTCAACAGAACACGAGGAACTGTATGAAGGGTCACGGCACGAGGAAGGTTGAGAACCACTGCTCTCGATGGACTAATGTGAACAAAACCACTCTCTGCCATCAACTCGACTGCTCCTTGCTGCCTTCTTTTCAGGACTCCGGGTAACTGTTCTGTTGGTCCCTCCCCTTGCGCTGCTCCCTGCTCTGCCCTTGTTGGTACTGGCCTTCAGCCAGGAGCAGCCCAGCTCTGTCCTGAGCCTGGACGGTGCTTGCTGCCCAGGGGGTTTCCCAGCCACCGTGACGGGAGTCCTTCCAGGGAGCTGGCCTGTGGAGTGCCGGGACAAGGAACGGAACTGCAGGGTGCTCATCATTGGAAATGATTTTCAATGGGCGCTACTTTCAGCTGTCACCAGCTATTGAGCGCTTCACCAACCAGGGGACTAAACAGACAGGAGAGCAGGTTTTAATGGAGCAAGAAGGATGACCCCTGAGGGTACCGAGCAAGTGCTGCAGGACGTGTACTCCGGAGCGCCAGAGACACCATCCCTCAAGGGGGACTCTGATGGCCCCCTTGCCAAGGTTACTGTGTGTGTGTGTGTGTGTGTGTGTGTTTAGCCCTTTAATGACCATTGTCCTGTATGAGCAAGAGTTGGTCCTGGGAGAAGGAAGATCCATATTCCCCAGGCCTGTGGCACATATGTGCTCATTTACATACAGCCCAGAGTTACAAAACAACCCAAACACGGGCTCCTTGGTAATGTGCAACCAAACATTATTATTATAACTGTGTGATTATGCTAAAGATGTTTGTTTCTCAAAGTATCTCTTTGATATGTATGTTTACATATATAACACATACACACATATGTATATATACACACACATACCTATTGAAAGGTACACAGTATACTGAGACAAACATTTGACCCAACTGTCCCGACTGACCTACGAATTAGATTTACGGACAGGCTTAGGAGCGGAACTTGTTTGTGATCTGGGACCTAGCTGTGGTGATCTCTGGGTTCCCAACAGCGGTGCCATCTGCCGTGTGTGTTGTGGAGGGAAAGCATTCCATGTGTTTTTTCACTTCCCTCAGGAAGACAGCTAACAGAGGTGGCCGCAAGCTCTGAACCTCTGAGAAAGAGGCTGAGTTTGGTGCAGGTCTGTCGCCAGCTTTATGGTCCACGGGGTGGTTTTCCTGAGCGGATGCGCTGGGTTTTGTGCCTGGTTTAAACCCTCCTGCGGGGAAGACGCACCAGCAGAGCTGCCCAGCTAAGCTGGCTTCCCTGGGGCTTGACTAGCCTGATGCCCAGGCGCCCGGGATTCGGTGCAATGCCTCTTTCCTCTGGGGACCGGTGACAGTCCCTCCTGAAGTGCTGAGATGGGCCGGTGGCTCTCAGAGAGGCTGTTCTCAAATCCTTTTCTTTGGAAGCAACTGCTCCAGAGGAGACCTGGTCACATTGTGGTTTCACAGTGGGCTGCTGCCCACAAGGTCAGCAGTTCAAAACTCCCAGATGCTCCTCGGAAGCAAGATGGGACTTTCTACTCCCATAAAGAGTTGTAGACTCAAACTCACAGGGGGCAGTTCGACCCTATCACTGAGTGGCCATTAGCTCAGTGGCAGTGAGATGGGTGAGTGTTGGGGTTTGACTCCAGAAGCACTAAGTTGACCATTCTTTCCTGTTACGTGTGTGACCTCTGGTGGCTGTAGCCTGTAAAACTTGCTCCCTGTGTGAGCTGGCACGAAACAAGCAGGAAATACTTTAGCAGCCGACCACTTCCTGTTCAGTATAGATCCCATCGAGTAATGTAGCCAGAATGGAACACGGGGCTTCAGTTCTAGACCTAATTTGCATGTTGCTAGCTAATATAACTGGTAATCTATCTATTTCTACTACTAGGATAATTGTCACCTTGTACGTGGGCTATCCACAGAACTATTAATTTTCACAGAAGGTCAAATTTTTTTTGAGATTTCAAATAAATAATCGATTCATTTCCTATTTCACTTCCAAATCGTCACTTGATAAATATGAACTTGGTCTCTGTAGCTGCTAAACCACTGGGTTCTTAAAACAGGTGAGCCTCTCCCAAACCAACACAACTCACTGATGGAGGCGATGCCAAGGCAGGAGTGAAAAGCTCCGGTCTTTCTCCTGCCTCCAGGGCAGCTGGTGGTGTTGATCAGCTCAGCGTGCAGGGTCGTGAGCACCAGGGCACCACTATTATCAAACCCATTTCAGAAGGAGGAACTTGAGCTACGAAACCCAAAATAACTTTTCCGTGTTGTGTGGCTGCTGTCTAGAACTAAGCAGGGCAGCTCCCGAATTTGTATGAACCACCAAGCTACATTGTTTTTCACACTTTCATTCATGCATTCGTTCATTCAAACAAAGAAACAACGAGGGTGGGGGTGGGTTTTAGAGATAATACAGTATGTATTAAATACACAAACAAACCCAAACTCACCAATATCAAATGGATTCTGACTCTCTAGACTGGCTAGCGACCCTCTAGAGCAGGTTAGAAGAGCCCGTGAGTTTGAACCACTGCCCTTGCGGTTAGCAGTTCACTTCTTACCTGACAGAACCACAGGGTTATTATAGCATAGTGTTCTCTCATTCAACAATAACATTTTGGGGAAGTTAGGAGTTTGAGAAACCTATTATCTTACTGTCAAAACCAAGAAATTAAACAGTTTAAATTCTGGAGAATTCAAGTCAAAGCAGTGACTTTTACCAAACTATTCATACAGCTGGAGTTGTGCAGATGGGTGTCTTCTTCTGTACGTTATAAACCACTTCCCGCACCAGCCCCACATCTGTGGATGTGTGCTTGATTTTTATTGATTGAAAAATGATTGATTGACTGGCCATATGATTTTTTTTTTTAAGTGTCGATCTCATCAAATGTATTTTATACAAATAGCGAAATATTTGGGTCACCAGGGTCTCAGGGGCGACCTCTTCCCAGACGATCACATGACATCTAGAGAAGTTGAGGCGCGGAGAACTTAAAGGGACCTACGTGCTTGTTTATGATCTCTATTGCCAGTAGCTAATTAACAGATGAAGAAGGATTTGTACCGTGAGTCTTTGGCTCCCATCAGAAGGAGCCTGTGCCCAGGAAAGAGTCCTAGCAGCTGCCCGACACACAGTAGGCTCACTTGTGACGCCCCGACACTGACTGGGCAGTGGCCAGGTTAGAACTTTGGCCACAGTCAAATGACTCTTTGACGTCTCTTCGTGGTTACCAAACTTTTAGACTTGAATGTCCTCGGGCATTCTGGGTTTCCACCACGTCCTACCAGTCCTTCCCTGGGCAGTTCACCTCTGTAAAAATGTGCAGCCTTGGAAGCCCACTGGGGCAGGTCCGCGCTCCTATAGGGTCTCTGTGAGATAGCAACTACTTGGGCGGCAGGTTGACATGTCACAGGTCCCGTACCTTCACATTGCAGTTAGAATCCATAAGATGTTTATTGACTGCTTTTGGGGGAAGTAGATCACCAGACCATTGTTTCTAGTCTGTTACAGTCTGAAAGCTCTGCAGAAACCTGTTCTGTATCATAGCAACACACAACCCTCACAGACAAGAGGGTGGTGACTGCACACGAGGTGCACGGGCCGGGAATTGAACCTGGGTTTCCCGCGTGGAAGGTGAGAATTCTGTTACTGAGCCAGCATTGTCTCAACTGTTGAATGAACTATTAGCCTGCTCTCCTGGCTGGAAATTATTGGCGGGCATTTCAAGAGCTGACATCATTTCTAAGTCCCAGGCACGTCTTTTCTGGGGTGCAGGGGCCCCACAAACCTTAATGTTTTCAGATCCCTGACCCTCCAAAGCAAAACTCACTGACAGTTGATTCCAACCTATAGAGACACTGTAGGACAGGTTAGCACCACCCCTTGTGGGTTTTGAGACTGTAAGTCTGTTTGGGAGTGGCTGCTAGTTTTGAACCTTGCAGTTAACAACTCAACCCATAACCACTATGCACCAGGGCTCCTCAGGACCCTGGCAGGTAAGGTTAACGAACGAACGTGAGACTAGGATGATGGGGGGAAGAACACACTTAATTCTAAATGAAAACCCTAGGTAGGTCAAATGACAGCTGGTTACTTATCATTCGGAGGAAAGAACCTGTAACAACGCCAGGAGACCTAGATACCACGGCTGATGCTCGGCCACCTGGGCGGAAGCCCAGGCTTCCTCTCCTACAAGAAGTGGGTCTCTCGGGCTCGAAGTTGCCACAACTCTGACAGTCTATTTCTGTTCTGTGATCGAATCCATGTCGCAACACAATTGTTCTGCCCAGTGTCTGCTTTGTCTGTCCCACAAATACTTGCCTGACAGGCGTCTTCGATCTAGCGCACCTGGTAGAACTTGTTTCCTTGAGGTCTTCTTGGAAGGGTTTGTGCCACTCTCCTTACGCGCTTTGATCTTTGTGCTGAAATAATCTGTACTTAACCGTCATTCTGGTGCCACTGCTGAGGCTGCCTTTTGCCAGTTTCCTCGTCTTGTCTGCAAGCAGCTGTGAGCAGACAAGCTTAGAAAGGGTGTTCTCTCTGTGTTGTTTCAGGGAAAATAGAGAAAGTCAAACCTCCTCCATCCCCTCCCGCCGAAGGTCCCAGCTCGCAGCCTGACTTAGCCCCCGAAGAGGCTGCCGGATCTCAGCGGCCCAAGAATCTGATGCAGACCCTCATGGAAGACTATGAGACACACAAATCTAAAAGGCGCGAGAGAATGGATGATAGTAGTGTAAGTTTTTCCTTTCTTCTTTCCCTTCTCGGAGAGTAGACGCCGTCGGCATGCTGTGGAATGTCTCAGTTCAGGTGGATCTGTGAGAGGGGCCCACCATATGGTCCCCCAAAGCAAAATGTGGGGGGTTGGGTTTTTGCCTTGTTCTCCCACAGATGTTGATCGTGTGTGCGTGAGACCTGTGGCTGCTGGGTGTGGCTCCAGCCTGTTGGCTAGACTAATGCATGCACTGTGCGGTGTGTGGAAAGACAGTGGGCTAGGGTGGCATGGGGAGGAGGGGTGGGAATGTCTCACAGGGAAACGGGGAGCTGCGTTCTACCGCAGTGTCTCGTCCTGCTTGGTGGACATTTTCTTTCTCTGAATTGCAAAGACTCTGTTCCCATGAGGTGTACCTCTATCGTCCATTCCCGAATCAGTGTTACACTGCGCTTAAAAAATGTGTTAGGGGCTGGAACCAAGCTTACGTGTGTGGAGTGGTAGGAAGGAGCCATGAACGAGGAGGGTCGGCGTGGAGACCCAAAGCCCATCTGTAGACAATGGGACATCCCCTCACAGAAGGGTCACAAGGAAGAGATGAGCCAGTCAGAGTGCAGTATGGCACCGATGAAACACACAACATTCCTCTAGTTCTTTAATGCTCCCCGCCCCCCGCCCCACAATCATGTCCCCAGGCCAGCCTTACAAAACTGGCTAGAACGGAGCATGTATACTGGTGCAGATACGCGCTCTCAACACAGGGAATCCAGGACAGAGGAACCCCTCAGGAATGGTAATGGGAGTAGTGATACCAGGAAGGTACGGGGAAGGTGGGGGGAGAAAGGGGAAACCGATCGCAGTGATCGATGTATAACACCCCCTTCCCACTGGGGGACAAACGACAGGAACGTGAGTGAAGGGAGACAGCAGATGGTGTAAGATAATGAAAGTAATAATAATTTATAATTTATCAAGAGTTCACGAGCGTAGGGGAGGAGGGGAAGAAGAAGAGCTGACAACAAGGCCTCACATAGGAAGACAATGCTTTGAAAATGATGATGGCAACATATGCACAAATGTGATGGGGACAATTGATGTATGGATCGTTATAAAAGCTGTAAGAGCCCCCAATAAAATGATTAAATAAATAAAAGGACAGTTCAGACCTACACAGCGACTCTCCCTCTATTCCCAGGTGTTTGTTTAGGAAACCGTCAGCTCCATGCTTCTTTCTCCATCAGGAGTCTTCCAAGGGGATTCACACACACACACACACACACCACCTTCATGGTTAGGAGCCTAGGGAGTCAGCCTCAGTACTTCATGCCAGCCTCCGCGAGTCTGCTGGCACCAGCCATCAGCCTCTGAGGGTGGTGGGATGTTGCTCCAAGATGTTCATGGACACAGCTTACTCCCTGGCAGCCACTGCCCTCTCCTCCCATTACCACTTGGCGCATAAATAGCTTGACTTGGTTGAAGATATTACCCAGTTGTCCGGGAGAGCCCTGGTTTTTGCCTGTTGTTCCATTGCAGTTATTAATAGCGGCCTTTCCCATTCTGAGGTGCCCCACTTTGGATGATGAATTACCTGATCACCTTAAACTTGAATGCTGCAGGGCGCCCTGTAGGAGTCCCATTCTCCCTTGTATCATTTCTAGAGTTGAGGCCAATTAATGAAAATTGCTTTCCAAGTATGTAGTAGTGCCCCCCGCCCCCCCCCAAAAAAAGTGTTCACGCCCAACCTGCCTTGTCTGCCGTCTGAGACTAGTGTTTCCGGTTGTACCCAGACATGCGTAGCCCTCTTAATGACACCATGGAGTCGGAGCTGGCCCTCAGAGGCTGCTGCTGGCAGGTCTATTGTGGGGCCTCAGGGTTAGGGTGCCAGCCGCTCCTTTCTGGGAACAGGTGTGATTTTTCTGCCCTCTAAGCCACTGTCTAAGAGTCCTACTGGTGCAGAGGTAAAGCACTCTACTGATGAGAGGCAAAAGTTGGCAGTTTGAACCACCGGCCCCCCTGCAGTGCAAAGATGTGGCAGTCTGCTTACCTTAAGACTGTGACTGTAGCTTAGGAACCCGAGGGGCAAGTCTACTCTAAGGATCTCTAGGGTCAACGCGAGCCAGAATGAGCTCCCCAGCAATGTTGTGAGCTCCTGGGTGTGTGTTTGGGCTTGGTTGTCACTCACTTTGACCAGCTTTTGCTTCTTTGCCAAGTGCCACCCCCGCACTGCCCTCGAGGCAGTAGACCTGCCCCCCTGGGGCTTCTGAGGCTGTCAAGCTTAACTAGAGCAGAGAGCCTGTTCTTTCTGAATCCCCAGCTTCGTGGTTAGGAGCCCAGTGCTTAACACACTGTGCCACCAGGGCCGCTTTCTTTCTGTTCATCTACGCCCCTAAAGATTGCACCCACTGAGACCTTCTGAGGCAGCTCTGTTCTGCCCCGGGGGGCGCCGAAGGTCCGAAGGACTCCACACCAGCCGGCCGTGGGCCAGAGCCCTTTGGAAGCTTGCGGTTGACTGGATGCTTCAGGTGTCCTTTGTCCCTAGTGGCTGTTTCGGTGGACGTTGGCGGAGTGGACCTTCCCATCCTGGTGTAGATGGACAAGAACAAAGGGGACCACTTTGCCCGTGGCCCCTACAAGCGCTTTCTGCCCACCGATCTCTCGTGTGTGCCTTTTGTCCTGGAGTAAAGCTGGGGGACAAAGAGACGGCACCCAGGGGAAGAAACAGGTGCCCCTCACCTCCTGCAGACTGCGGTCACCCAGCGGTGCCAGCGGGTGTGCACGCAAGACGTGACTAGAAATTTCATTTCCTGGTTGCTCTCCAGGCCTCTTGTCTCTATTTCTCTTCAGTAAACAAATGTTAAAGACAAAAACGAATGTTTTCCTCTATTAAGGTTCCCAAATCTTGGATTCAGGCTGAGTGTTTTGTACTGTGAGTGAGGTTACAGGGAAACAAGTTGGCCCTTGAAAGTTCTTAGACACAGAACAAAAATCTACCCAATCTACTAAAATCCAAGTCCCAGAAAGTATCCCCAGACTGCTCCTTGAAACTGCACCGCTGTTCACCCAGCTCCCTCGTCACACACAGACCTCGGGCCTAGAGATGGAGCCCTACTTTCTCTGCGTCCTGAGAGCCCAGTGTGGCCAGGACCAGCCATGACTGCCCACAAGCCCCCCACTTGCGCCAGCTCCTCTCTGTGGTCAGGGTCTTCTTCTGAGACCCTAACAGGCCACAAGACTGATGTGGAGTTCCGGGAAAACCTCCAGGGAGAAACAAGGCAGTTTGTTTGGCTCTTGGTTTGGATTCTTGCAAAGCCGCACAAGCCATCCTGGTCCTGGCTGGCAGGTGCCTGATTCAAGGTGCGAGACAGAGGGGATGCAGCGTGTTGTTAATTCAAAGCACAGAAAATGGAAGCAACACATTTTGAATTAACAATTTATCTGATATTTTTACTAAGAGATAATAGGGTATCTACTTGCTCAATGAGCTACGGGCTGTTAAATAAACTAATATCAGATAAAGCCATGCGTTGAGTGTGTAATGGTCTCCTGATGTTAACCCGTGCCCCACCCACCCTGGCATGGTGCGGGTTCCCTGTGAGGCGGTGGTATTCTGTGAGTGTCTCTGCTGTGTACTAACCCTGATCTTTTCCCTCTCCACCAGTACACCTCTAAGTTACTGTCTTGCAAGGTGACTTCCGAGGTACTGTTCAATTTGTCTTGGTCTTCCTGCATGCTTGGTTCAAGTGCATGCTGTGTGGTTTGCCATTTCCCGATGGGTCACATGGAAAGGACAGGAAGATGGCCTTTCTCCTCCGGATTCCTTTCTTTCCTGCCTTTTCTGCATTGGGGGATTGCCTTAGAATGTGGGGCACCTGCAGCGGGGAGCCATGGTGCTGGGATGGGCTGCCCTGTGTGGAAGGGGTAGGAGAAGACCATGCCTGCCCATGGGTTGAGAAGAGATTTCAGCTGCGGGCAATACTGATGAGCTATTCGGATTTGTTTTATTTCTTCGGGACCTGATAGCAAATATACTTGGGTCTGGTTAGAAGCAAATGTACTTCACACTGATGAAGCTGTTGGCCTTTGTTTTCCTCCACACAAATCCCAACAAGTTCATCCCATGGTTTTAGGAGGAGCTAGTAAAAGTAGAAACCACCCCAGCTTCTCTCCATGCAAATCTTGAAACCTAGATCTTTGTTTTAGAAGCTTCTTTATCAACAAAGCCCACATGGAAGAAGCACACCAACCCCTGTGATCACGAGGTGTCCATGGGATCAGGCACCAGGCATCAGAAGACCCAGAACAAACAGCCATGTCGATGCTAACAAGGGGGGTCACCAAAGAATGGAGACCCAAAGCCTATCTGTAGGCAATTGGACATCCCTTCACAGAAGGGTCACAAGGAAGCGACGAGCCAGTCAGGGTACAGTATAGCACTCACGAAACATACAACATCCCTCTAATTTTTTAATGCTTCCTCCCCACTACTATCATGACCCCAGTTCTATCTTACAAATCTGCCGAGACCAGAGC